TGGGGTGGCGGAGCGGAGTGCTGCCTTTCTCTGCTACTTCTCTTTGCCAGACTGCTTCTGCTGCCTTTTCCCCTGGGCAAGAGAAGGGAAAGGATAGGTGATGTGTTACTGTGTCCAAATGGTAAGTTACTTCTCGGGGCCTTTTAGGATCTGGACTAAGGCACTGCAGCATCCTCAGTGACAATCACTGCCAACCCGTGCCAGCGGGGAGGAAATGGCTGGCCTTTTTGGTAGCCTAGGCTGGCTGCTCCAACCATCTCCTGACCTGAGCTCAGTTAATCACTCATGAAGCCAAAGATCTCTCCTAGATGGAGCTTTGAGTCCGGTGATTCTCAGCCCGAAGTCATTTTGCTGCCCTGGACACTTGGCAATTCTGGAGACGTTCTTGGTTGTCACAACTCGGGGGATCTAGTGGGGAGAGGCCAGGGACGCTGCCGACGCCCAGCAAGAGGACAGCCCCCACAACAGAGGATTGCCCGGCCCCACATGCCAGGAGCGCCCCAGTGAGGAGCCTTGCTGTAGCCCAGCCCAGATCTTGCCAACAGCTTCCACCTCCAGCCTGTGAAGCAGGTGTGCCCCAGAGACCCTTGGTTTCTGGAAGGACCGTAGAATCAGTATCCTCCTCCTCCCGGGTCCCAGCGCACTCAGCCTTCCCACTCAGTGACGGGCAGTTCAGTCTCCCAGCTGGAGCTGCTCTGGAAGGGACGCGCGTATGAGGCCCTGCAGCGTGTTTTCCATGGAGCCCTGTGGAACCCTGTTAGAGACCCGTTTTCAAGGGTGGGGGCCAGGCCCTACCTGCACAGCCTCAGGTCAGGCCTGTAGGGTCACCTTCCTCTTGTTCTCTTCATTCCCACCTTCCTCGCCAATCCTGCTCCTCCCACCCCACCTTCTAGCATCCCTCCCAGGCCCCCAGAGATTAATGTGATAATTGTCATGTGTGCTGTTTACGCAGGGAGTGGGTGAGCTCACCGCCCCTGCTCGGGCAGGATCCCAAAGGAACACATTCCCACGATGTCAGGGCTGGTACCCGCTGAGCACTCCTGCGCAGGTGGGCCGCCACCCCCGGACTGCTTTCTCTGTCATCACCCTGTCGGGTGCACGTGTGCGTGTGTGTCACTCGGGATCGGCAGGTGAGAGAGATGGAGAGCAGCCGGCGGCGTGGCAGCCTAGGGGAAGGGCTGGGCTAGGAAGGTGTCTGGGGATGGGAGGTGCATCTGCTCCTTAAATATGAGGACAATGACCCTAAGAGAAAGCACTCTTCTGTGGTGCCTGGCACATGGCAGGTGTTCCATGGTGGGTGTGGAATGAAGAGGCTGGCACTCTCTCGCTCTCTGGGAGCATCCTTTACTGGGGAGAGGGGTGCTGCATTTACCCTTAGCTCCTCCACTGTAGAGGTCTGGGCTGTGAAGTTTCCGCTGTGAGACTGTCCTGGGGCCAGAATTCTGCAGAATGTGTTGTCCCAGCATCTCGCTTGGAGTACTTAGCACGGCTGTCCCGTGTTCCTGAAGGAAGAGTCACTGGGAAGATAAAATGCACCAACCCTGCATGAAAGTGGCTTGTGAGAATCGAGACCGTGTCACAGAAGTGGGGGTAGCAGGGCACAGTGGAGAGGAAATGAAAGGGAGCGATTCTCCCTCTCACACGGGCAGCCCTCCTCTCCTCCCCCTCCCGTTACGAGACTGACACACGTGCCCATTGAGAAGGTGAGCACAGCCACAGCCCCGCGGTGAACTGGCGACTTCTTCCTGGTTCCTCTTTGCATGGCATCAGGGCACTTGCTGCCTTCAGAATTGCCAATTGCTCCTTTTTTAATCTCAGAGGACACTTTCATAGTTATCTCTCCTACACTGGACAATTTTAACGTTTTAGTTATAAATCAGAAGGAAATTGAAGCCCTGATCAGCATCAGAAAGATTGCCGTTTTGGCAGTCTCTGGGAGACGCATCCCAGACTCGAGGCCAAGTCTGGAGAGTATGAGGAGGGAGGCATGAAGTCCTCTGCTTGCCCACTTCCTGCCGAGGGAGGTGCCCCTTGTCCTGCTGGATGCGTCACTGGCCTGTGGACAAGCATGTGAGTGGTGGAGGAGGCCACCTGGCCAGGCAGAGTGAAACCGAGGGAGAGGGGCGAGGTGTGGAGAGGGTGTGGCGAGTCTGTTAAGAGCTTTGTGAATAATCTAGGGGGCTGTAGAGCTGTGTTCTCCAGAGGAGCCTTTTAAGCTGTCACTCATCTTTAATTACCCCCGGGGCACAGTGCTGCTACTGCTCCCGTCTTCCCAGCAATTCTTTTTCTCCTTCTTTTCTCCTCCCTCCTGTTTTTCCATCCTGTAGGCCCCAACACTGGCCTTCGTGCAATTCAGAGAAAGCGCCACAGATTGAGAGGAGGCTGAGTGAATTGTATTGGTATATTTTTAACCACATAATCATCTTATTAAAACTGTGGCCATGTCTTGATTAGTTGAACATCTGTGTGTGCCAGACCCTTCGTGAGGTGCCATGTTTAGAAGTGAGCAGTTAATGTTCCTGCCTTAATATAGATTAAACCAAAACCAACCCATTCTCACAAAGCACTGAATAAAAAAATACTGTTCATTGCTGGCATTTTACAGAATTGGGAAACTCATTCCAGACTCAAGACCAATGAGGAGAGTCCACTTATCCCTACTTTTTACAGGCTGCATTCCTCGATGTGTTAATAGATTTCCTTTTTAAAGGGTTCCTTAATCAAGGAAGTTTATGCAATGCTGGAATAAACAAAGTAAATAACATTCCTTTTTTGCAGTGCTTCTCATAGGCTAAGAAGAAAATATAATTTGCTGTTTCTCAAGGTTCTTTAGTTACAGAAGCCCATTTCCTGCAAAACACATTAACATCTTACAGATCACCAGCAATGAGAAGAACACGATTTTGAGCATACTCTTCACTCTACAGCATCCCTCGCAAATAGTCACCCAAGTGAAATTGCTCTGAGCCATCTTCAGACTGTAGCTCAGTTATTTCTGAGACCCAAAATACCTTAACAGTCATCATTTCGTCACAGCCATTGCTGATACTGACTAATGTGTATTGGTGACGGAGCCCTAATCTGGGTACTGGGTGTAAACTCAGTTCTTGCTGCCAGGAAGCACTAAGAGGGAGCACTGGCTAAACCATGGAGTGAACAAACCCTGTTCATCTGAGGCCCCACTGGTGAACCATTGGAGCTGACCAGTCTTACAGAAGGTTTGATTTATAATCACAAATAAAGGCAGAACTAGCAACACAAAGATCATTCAATTCATCCTTCAGCCCAGAGGAGGCTCAAGTCTCAACTATCTCAGAAAAATGGCTTCCTTTGTCCATTAAAACCATCCATGACACTTGACATCTAGTTCTTCTGCATCTTTCTTCTAATAATCAGGAAGAGTTTTCTCTGAGGTCTGGCCCACATCTTCCCTACTTGCGTGTAACTGACCAGACCCGATCAGACCAAAGAGCTAGATCTTACACTCTGAAATTGGCAGGGCCCTGCCTTTGTGTCATCCAGTTCAGAAAGTGATTTTTTTGTTGTTGTTTGTTTTTAACTTTTTATTTTGCTTCATGTGCAATCATCCCTCTCTCAACAGTGTAGGGACAAGACAAAAGACAGAGGGTTGGTGAAAGGAGGTTGCCTTAGAAGCTATTCTGAATGAGTGACTCTACTCTACGGTGATAGCTTCCATGCTCACTAGGGGGCTGTGTTCTGTGGACTGAAATACTTGAACGGGAGGCAGAGAGAAAATGAGATAATTTGGGAGGGAAAAAAAGATAGAATGTCATAGAAGTCCGCAGGAAGCATGAAGACAGTCAAAATACATTTTCAAAGTTCAGTAGTGAACGAGAGAAAGGCAAGTTGCAGGGCTGAGAAACGCTTGACCATAGAAATTCTGAGTGAAGGACTTTACTAATGTAGCACGTGAGTTTTAAGCATGACATTTGACTTTTATGGCCTTGTTTCCCCCAGGAATTGGGGATGCAGTATCTATTGTGAGTTTCAAATGGGTATTAAAGTTTGTGTGTGAGCCGGTAGTGTCGAGGTGAGGGGATTTGAGAGCCTTGCATAGGTGACGTGTGATTCAGGGAGACTATTCGGAAAGACCTGGAGGTGCTGTCGTGGGGAGGGAAACTCCAGGTGAAGGTTGACAACTGTTAGTGGAAAGGCACAAGCATTAGAGAAGATGCCTTAAAATGCCCCCAACCTCTATTTATAGGTCCTACTAAGACATCCTGCTGAGAGTTGTTTCTTTTGCCTAAGGCATGTGATGTAATCCTTCCTCAATCCCTGATTAGTCAAGGGACTTGCATCCAATTTGTGGTGTAAGAATTCAGAATATATGGATTTCCGTGCACTTTTTGGTTCACTGTGTGTTAGCATTAGAGAGAGAGCAAGTGATCACTCTTCAAATCTAGATTTATTCCTTGTTTTGTCCATCGCCTTTCTGGGGCCCAGCCTGGGCCAGCTCCGTAGAACTGCACTGTGGTGGAAGAAAGCAAGCCAGAGCCCAGGGTAGGGGCTGTGCAGCATGGGGAGGACCCTCATTTATTCCAAGCAGCTCTGTCAAGGCCTTTGCCACCATCCATGGAATGGAGTGATGGCCACAGCCTGCCTTTGTCTTTTTGAGAATTTGTCCAGTTTAGAATGCAAAGGTTTAGAACCCACATCACCAGACACTGCAAAACCAGTGATTGTTTGCATGACCTCAGAAAAGTATTTGAGCTTTCTGTGTTTAGTTTTCTCATCAGTTAAGTGAGGGTGTTAGAATATTCCAACTCGGGGTATTACAGTGAAGCTGATGCAGTGTCCATCACTATGTACCTGGGAGATCATGAGTTAATCCACAATGACACCAAAGTGGGAGTGGGTGAGGCGACGTTTAGCTGTGTTACGTGGCGCTTGTTATATGACACTATGCGTAAAGCTCCAGGAACCGCCTTGCTTCTGGCAGATGGCTTTAAGTATTAAGGGACTATTTTGCTTTCTTTCAGACCAATGATGCCTTAGGAGCCACCTGGAATTGGCTGTACTTCATCCCTCTCATCATCATTGGATCCTTCTTTGTTCTCAACCTAGTCCTGGGAGTGCTTTCCGGGTAAGCCAGATGTTTCTCTCTCTTCTTAACTTCTTTGCTGACTGCTAACTGTAAACTAATGCCTCCTGACTCATGGCAGATTCGTTCATTTGGCTTTCATTTAGAAGACATTTACCGAGCAGCCCCTGTGTGCCAAATGCTCTTCTAGATGCTGGGAATGTAGTAGTGAACCGTCTTTCTAATCATCTTTATTATTCTTAGGAATTAAAAAAATCTTTGTCAGCACGACACTGAACGCACTATCGAGTGAGAGTTCACGTAACCATCCATCCTTTCGTTTGATAACTCGACAGCCGTAAACCTTCCATGTCAAACACTGTGCTGGTTGTTAGGGATATAAAATTGAACAAGACACAGGCTTTCTCTCAAACGATTCTTATTCTGTAGGATACTGGGCACCAAGTCCTGTATTTGTGGCTTGAATTAGCTTATACCAATTTGCAGTCATTCACTGTCCAATACCATGGTGAGCATTGCAAGGAGCACGCAAAGGCATGGTTCTTCCCTTTAAGAAACATGTTTTGCTGAAAAGACAACACAAACACTTGAAACACGAAATAGGATTTTTTTTTTAAACTGACTAATATAATTTGTTTTGTGGAAAGGACAACTCTATGTAGTCTGAGGTTATCAGAGACGGTTTCATGAAGGATTAGGATTTTGCTCAGGACATAAAATATATAATAGGATAACACAGAGTATATGAGAGTGAACATTTCAGGAAGAGGAACATGACACCGTAAGCAAAGATGAAGAAATGGGACTTGTTATGGAGTGTGAAGAGATTATAATGTAACATTTTAGAATGGCTGAGACAGAGATATGTTTTTACATTTTTGTAAGCAAAACCAAACTTAATTTCTTGTCAGAGTGGCATAAGTTCTTCAAATGAAAGTTTATCAGGTAGTGTTTTTTGTTGGAGTGTGGCAGATGAAACCCAGTCAGTCATTTCTTGAAACTTCACTGACACAGGAAATAAATTTTAGGAGGGTCATAGGACAAGGGAGGACAAGAGAGATTACAACAGATGAGTGAAGCCAACCAAATTTCTGAAGATAGAGAATGGGGACTGACAGCAGTAGGAAAGCTGCAGTGGAGAACGCCAGGGAAGAGCAAGCTGATTGTCCAACAGAGCCCTAGAAAGTATCAGAACTAGAGATGCCTGTTAGGTCTGAGAGCTGGAATATGCATGTTGCTAAAATCAAGAGGATTGTTTGAAAGTCCTTGTGAGGAACATTAGATGCCCTCTTGCTACCTCGGATCTCAACCTCCAGGCAATGCTGACAGGTATCTGCTCCACCCAACCCCCACCCAGCAAAAGTTAGGAGACTTAATCTCTGTAGAACAGTGATCCTCAGGCTTTTTGGCACCAGGCACCGGTTTCATGGAAGACAGTTTTTCTGTGGACCTGGGTGGGCAGGGATGGTTTCAGGATGATACAAGCACATTTCATTTATCGTGCAGTCAGACCTCTCTGTGAATGATAATCTGTATTTGCAGCCACTCCCCAGAGCTAGCGTCACCGCCTCAGCTCCACCTCAGATCATTGGGCATTAGGTTCTCATAAGGAGCGTACAACCTAGATCTCTTGCATGCACGGTTTACAGTAGGGTTCGTGCTCCTATGAGAATCTAATGCCTAATGCCGCTGCTGATCTGACAGGAGGCAGAGCTTATGTGGTGATATGAGCAAGGGGGAGCGGCTGTAAATACAGATGAAGCTTTTTCACCTACTGCTCACCTCCTGCTGTGTGGCCCAGTTCCTAACAGGCCACGGACAAGTACCAGTTGGCCCAGGGGTTGGGGTCTGCAGCTGTAGAGGCTGAATCAGAGAAACTTGAAATGGTAACATCCGGTAAACCTGAGGGAGGGATTGATAATGTAGCAAAAACAGGAGGGTTGAATGAAAGTACACAAACCGAATGCCAATACTCCAGCCCACTTCTACTGCTTGACTCTTGGAAATACAGCATTCTGGGAGGAGTTCAGAGGATTTCTCTGTGGGGACACAATCTGTCTTAAAAGAGTGAAGATATTGTGGAGAGATCAGAGAAGCACGTTCCCACTCCTCACCTTCAGTGAGGCTCACTATAGTAATTTTCTATGGCTGCCACAACCCAATTACCACAAACTGGGTGTCTTGAAACTGAGAGAAACACTATTCTGTCACGGTTCTGGAGGACAGAGGTCCAAAATCTGTTGGGGCCATGCTTCTTCAAGGGCTCTAGGGGAGAATTTATTTCCTTCCTCTTCCAGCTTCTGGTGGCACCAGGCATTCCTTGGCTTATAGCTACATCACTCTGGCCTCTGCCTTCATGGTCATATTGCCTCTTCTGTTTCCTTCTGTGTGATCTCCCTCTGCCCTGCTCTTATAAGGACCTTTGTTATTGGATTTAGGGTCACCTAGATAATCCAGGATGATCTCTTCGTCTGAAGATCCTTAAGTTAATTATAATTACATCTGCAAAGATCTTTTTTCCAAATAAGGTCACATTCACAGGTTCTAGGACTTAGGACATGCATATATCTTTCTCGGGGGGAGCCTCTATCCAACGCACTACACTCACCGTTTCCTGAGCTCCAAACATGTGTACAGAGTTTCCAATAAGCTTCTGTGCCTTGCTCTTAAATATGAACACACAGGTAGGGATCATCAGTATTGGGGGAAAATGCCCAACACAAAAGGCCAAAAATAAAATAACAAATAGAAAAAAGGAATTTCATTGAATATGAGCAATGCAGGGAGCAGAAGACAACTTTAAAAAACTATTTTTCGTATTAGCATAGATGGAAGAGAAATAATTCCATCTAAAGAATAATGAGTTACTATAAAAAAAATTTAGAGGTTAAGAACTCTTGGAAATTAATGTAAAATGTAATTAAAGTAAATTTACATTAATGAAAAATGAAATGTAAAAATGTTATAAAATAAGATAAATGGTTGAAATATAAAGTTGATGAAATCGCCTACAAAGTAGAACCAAAAAAAAAAAAAATAGGATTGGTCCAACATTTAACTCCTATTATAATAGGAGTTCCATGAAGAATGCAGTGAAATGGAAAGATAAAAATAAAAGAAATGTCCCTGAACCAAAAGATTAACATTTTCAGATTAAGTGTTGAGACATGTGCAAGGATGTTCTTTCTTTCCAACATTGTTTCATGGCAGTGGGAAGTTGGAGGTAACCTGGGTATTCGTATAACTGGGAGATTAGATAGGTAAAATGTTGGATGCGTGCTATGGCATACTATGTAGCATGGAGCAACAAACGCCATGTATATGTCAAAGAATACCTTAAGAACATAGAGTCTAGTGGAAACAAGAAGGAATCCATGTGATATTTATGTAAAAATACATTTATACAAAATATACAGTTTGTAAAAATATGTTCAAATAAAAGATACACATTGAATATATTCTAATGATAGTTTATATAGCAGGGAGATAGAAAGTGAGCATGGAGATAAAAGGGAACAAATGAGTTTAATTCATTAATAGTGAAAATGCCCACTGAGCACTCAACATAAATAATTAAAAGAGACCACACAAAGGTTAATTGTCATGAAATTTCAGAACATCAGAGTAAAGAATATTCTGAAAATGTCCAGCAATTGGAAAGGGGGTAGAGTTTACCTACAAAGAACCAGGAATCAGGATAGCATTGGACTTCCCATTGGCAACACTGAAAACTAGTAACCAAGTTCCTAAAACTTTTGGAAGGAAAATAATTTCCAAGATAGAATTTTATACCTAGCCCAAATACCAATTATTTTTAAGGATGGAATATAGATATTTTCAGATACCCTTTCTGAAAAAGTTACTGGAGAATGTGAATCACCAAAAATATGCAAGTAATTGAAAAAAGAGAAAAACATGATACTTACTGAAATGAAATTCAGTGGAGGAGGGAAGCAGAGGGATTGGTTCCCAGGGTGAAGGGAAGTCTAGGGATGACAGCTGTCAGGGGCCTGGAGAGCATCTAGCTCAGAATTGAATAGGATGGCATAGTGGTTTAAAAACAGTATCTGTAAGAAAAAAGTTAAAGTAATATATTCCTTGATGTGTATTATCGTATTCAGAAGAGCTTTATGGTTTGTCAAAACTATATACAGCCATGTGCTACATAACTATTTCAGTCAACAACTTACCAAATATACAACAATGGTCTGGTAAGATTATAGGGGAGCTGAAAAATTCCTATGTCATCATAACATTGTAGCACAATGCATTACTCACGTTTGTGGGTTTGTGGTGATGTTGGTGTGAACAAACCTACACTGCCAGTTGTATAAAAGTATAGCATATACAATTGTGTACAGTACATAATGCTTGATGATGATAGATGCCCATATTACTGGTTTATGTAATTACTATACTTTTTATTGTTATTTTGAAATGTATTCCTATTTATTAAAAAAGTTCACTGTGAAACAGGCTCAGGAAGGTCCTTTAGAAGATATTCCAGAAGAAAGAATTGTTATCCTAGGAGATGACAGATCCATGAATGTTATTGTCCCTGAAAACCTTTCAATGAGACAAGATGTGGAGGTAGAAGACAGTGATATTGATGATCCTGACTCTGTATAGATCTAGGCTAATGTGTATGTGTTGGTTTTGAACAAAAAAGTTTAAAAA